CCACCGCGCCCGCCGCCGCCTTCTACCTGCCGGGCCTGGCGCCCGTCAACTTCTGCGAGGCCGGCAAGGAGAAGCCCGAGTGCAAGGTGAGCCCGGGGGGCGCTGAGGGGAGGCCTCTGAGGCCGTCCGGGTGCGGCGCGGCCTGGGTGTTGTCCCCCTGCTGCCGGGGCTGTGTAGTGGGGCTTGTCCGCAGGGTTTGAAGCCGCTCCGCTGTGCCCTACCGAGGCTCCCCGGCGGTGCGGGGGCTATGGCTGCGGGGACTCGGAGCGTGGTTCGGTTCCCGCTGTGCTCAAGTTACTCACGGAATTGTTAGGGTTGGAAGGGACCTCTGGAGATCGTCTGGTCCAACCCCCGTGCGAAGGCAGGGTCGCCGGGAGTAGGTGGTCCAGGAACGTATATGAATGTCTCCGGAGGGGGAGATTCCGTGACCCTCTGGGCAGCTTGTTCCAGTGCTTTGCCACCCTCAGTGTAAAGAAGCTCTTCCTCGTCACGAGGTGTAACTTCTCGTGTTTGAGTTTATGGTCATTGATCCTTGAAAAGGAAATCGATGAGACGGAGGACCCAGGGGAATGGCAGAGGTACTTGCCTGTCTCAGCTCCGGCCTGGCTGGGTAGTGACCACGATCCCTTCCAGGGAAGGAGAGAGCTGTCGGCTCATCCTGTAAGTTACCGCCACGTCGGGGAAGTAGGAAGCTCTAGCCGGTTATTTCTTGGGCCCTTTCAAATCCCTGCAGGAAAGTTGCAGCAATGGTGGCAGTGACAGGTCATGCTGAGCGGGGTGTGTGTGGTTCTTGGCAGGAGTGAGCAGCTGGTGGCGAGAGCAGATATCAAAGTAAGCATCCAGTCACACTTTCCTTGCTGTGTCTTCCTGGCTGTAGGAACGTGAAGTGTAGGGGCTTGTAGCAAGGCCCCGGAGTGTCAAAGCTTAAACTCACCTTCATGCCTGCAGAAGTGACGAGCAAACCTCGCATAACGAAATAACTCATTTGTAAGAGTGTTGGTGGGGACCATTAATGTAAATGTCCTGTGATGAAAAATCATCTTTGCTCCTTTGGGGCACCTTTTGAAGTTGTTTCCTGCTGCTGTGATGGAAATTATGGCAGACTGTGCTTTAATGCTCGAATGAGAAGGTTAAAGACCAATCACTTTTACGATCCATAGTCTTACTACTGTAGAAAGTGGCTTTCACTTTTTGAGCTCTCAGCTTCTGTGTTGCATGAAACACTGGTTCATAATTCTTCAGAATAAGAGCCTGCTTAAACTATATGCTTTTGGTAAATAACGTGTGCTGACTTTATTCTTCTGCTGTCCTGAATCAGCAGAACCAGGAATAAGCCAAGCACATAATGAAGGCTCTTTGCTTGTAGTAGTAGAATATCCTGTAGACATTTTTTTATAGTACCACAGAAATGATGTTTGGAAGTGGCTACAGCAGGTCACATACTGCAACCTCATGCCAGCAGCATGAGAGGACAGAAAGCACCGCTGTTTTCAACACTAGATCAACTCAGCTCTACCTTTGTCTAAGCTTTGGAAACAACCAAGCATGGAGTATCCATCTCCTCCCTGGATGACCTGTTACAGTGCTGCACCACCCTCTTAAGGAATGGGGTTTTTTTCAAATACAGGCTGAAGCTTTCAAGCTGCAAGTTTGTGTTTTTTCACAACATCCCTGGAAAACATTGCTATGTTTGGATTATTCCTGTTTTAAGCTTGTAGAAGAAAGATTTATTGTTTTAAGTCAGGTGAACCATGTAGCCTACTATCTTTTGTAACCATCCTGAGACACTTATAGGGTGATCTTCCTCAGAAGCCTCTGATTTTATTCTTCATATAACACATACAAAATGTTTGTCTTCTGAGAATTTATCATTTAATGGATGTGAAGAGAGGTACTTGGGTAATGTAAATGTACCACTAGCAGGCAGCTGAACACCTCAACAGCTGTAGTAGCGCAAAAATTGTTTATGCAATTAGCCACCTCTTATCAATTTCCATATTAGACACAGGCATATGGAGAAGTCTAAAGCACTCTTCACATCTAATACTCTCCATGTTGTCTGCAGCTGAATGTACTCTGGTCCCTGATAAGGAAAAACAATATATGGTTGGATTATTGCTGTATCATATTTGTGTAAATGGATTAAATTAACCTTCCTTGGACAGGCTTCATTTTTTACATTTCTCACAGATTTCTTGCAGTTATCACTGTTAATTGCAATGTCAATAATAGTGAATTTTCCTCTGCCTGAGGATTTTGATCCACATGCCAGATCTCAATACTTACTATTTGTCTATTATGATCCCTTTGATCTCCTGTCCTCTGTTGGTGAGATGGGATGAGATGTTTATGGGGCATGTAGCTAAGAGCAATGAGACACATGGCTTTCCCCCTTTCTGCAGGTTTCCTGCTAATCTGCTTGGGCAAACTCAGTTTGGCTGCTTCTTCTTGTTTTGGTTGGAATAACAACAGAAATTCTATGCAGACTTAAACAGTAATTCTTGTCTGAAGATTAAGAATACTTACTCGTTTTAAAAGATAGTGATTGTTCCAAAAAGGGCTTGGTGTTGTATGGGAAATGGCTCATCAAATATGCTGATCTGCAGTAATGCATATAATTTTTAAGAAAAATTGCAGCATTCACATAAATCTCTTATGAAAATATCTGTTTTAAGGCCATGGTTCTTTGACCAGCTGAGGCAGTCTAATTCCCTGCTGCTGAGAGTGAGAGATTCCATTCCTGTCTTCCTCTGGGCAATGTGTTCCTGTCCTCTGCATTGACCCAGCTGTTACTTGTTTTTTTGAGATTAACATGGCAGGAAACTAACTTTTTGCCACTCTAGTTTCCTGCTGTTTTAGGGAGTTGAAGTGGCTTACAGAATTATGGCAAGTGTGCACTACCCAGAGGAGAGCAGCAGGTCTGCATGGCTTAGGTCAGGGGAAAGATGACCCTCAAGGTGTGTCTTCACTTAGTGGATCATGCTAATAGCTCACACAACTTCCTGTGTCTCCCAGGACTGCATCCTGACTTGCCATGGACAGCTAAAGTATATCAGTAAAACACAGTACCCAACTGAAGTATCTGAGCTGCAGATACATGTGAACATTTCCATCTCTTATTTTCCTCCAGAATTTCTTGGTTTGGCTAAACTTGAGGGAGTTTTCATAGGGAGGAAATGCTCTTCTGTTGGTAAGAAAATAGATGGCTTGCTGTTGAAAGGGTTGAGGGCTTGTTCTGCAGGGCATTCACCTTTGTTTTGCTCTTCAGCTCTTGTCTGATTACACAGTTAGGCAGCTAAATTTGTGTTGTGGTTTAACCCTAGCTGGCAACTAAGAACCACACAGTTGCTCGTTCCCTGCTGACCCCAGTGAGATCATGAGGAGAATCGAGGGGAAAAGTAATTTGTGAGTTGAAACAAGAACAGTTTTATTGAAATAAAGTAAATATAGTCATACTACTAATGATAGTAATAATAATAATTTTAATGAATAGAAGAGAGAGAGAGGAATAAAACCCAGGCAAAACAAGTTGCACAGTACAACTAGTCACCACCCACTGATGGATGCCCAGCCCATTGTCCCCTTCCAGCCAACTCTCCCAGTTTATATACTGAGTGTGGCATTCCACAGCATGGAGTGGCCCTTTGGCCAGTTCAGGTCAGCTTCTCCTGCCCATGCTCCTTCCCAGCTTCTTGTGCGCCTCGGTGCTGGCAGAGCCTGGTAAACTGAAAAGTCCTTGACTCAGGGTAA